GTGGTCTTGTGGTTTGATCGTTGGACTTCAACTCTGGAGACCAGGGTTTGATTTCACACTCAGCCATAGAAGCCCATTGGGTAACATTAAACAAGTGACGCATTCTCAGCCTTAGAAAAATAAACATATGTATGGTAGGTTGACCAGGGTTACCATAACTCAGAAGCGACTTGAAGGCCCATAGGTAAAGGTAAAGGTTTTCCACTAACATTAAGTTCAGTCGTGTCTGACTCTGGTGCTGATCTCCATTTCTAAGCCAAAGAGCCGGCGTTGTCCGTAGACACCTCCAAGGTCATGTGGCTGGCTTGACTGCATGGAGCGCCATTAACATGGTTTATTTGCTGTAGATTTTGGTGTGGATGTTTTGAAAAGGTGTTCAACAATGTTGAATATTTCAAGGCTGGAGTTCTCCAGGAACCCCTTTAAAGAGTGGCCTAAAACCCAGAACAAATGCTCTTTCCCACTATCTTGAGAACTGCTTGCTTTTATAGAAGTTGGAATTTGGAAAAAGCTCCCTTTTTTGTACTACAATGCACAGCATTCCTGACAAGCATGTTCAGTGACCACATGGAGACTGTTTGGTTTTCTATGGCCAAGCAAGGATTTGAACTCTAGTCTCCAGAATTGCAGCTCAAAGTGCAAACCACTACACTCATCTGCTGAGAGTTCATTCACTTGAAGATTGTGCATGTTTTCAGGTTCAGTAGAGTTGTGCTGGTGGATCTAAGGATTCATAAAGATGTGTGTTTTCCACAATCCATTCATTTTCACCAGGTTCATGTGCCCCTAACCCTGGTCAATGTTGAGAGCCAACTGTATTTTTAAAGAATATATTTTAACAGATAGCACACAAGCCGGAGAACTTTGATTGGTGGGCAGCTTAAGGTGCATTGAATAAATAAATGCCTCCTTTATGATGTTTTGTTCCACATTGTATTGCTGAAAATGATTTAATACCCTCTAGTTCTCATTTTATACCTTTGGATTTCCATGATTTCACCACACTTTTATGGGGTATTGCCTTCTCAATCTGCAGCCCTTGCAAAATTGTGTGTTGGTCATAGGCAGATAAGAAATATGAGAACAATAATATCTATTGAGTATCTTTCAGCCAAAATGCCTGAGAGCAGAAGTGTTTAGGATTTCATTTTTTATTTTTATTTTTGGAAGACCTGTATTTGCATTATACTTACATAATGAGATATCTTGGTGGTGAGACCCAAGTCTAAACATGAAAATCATTTATGTTTCATATACACTTCAAAGGTAAAGGTTTTCCCTGACATTAAGTCTAGTCGTGTTTGACTCTGGGGGTTGGTGCTCATCTCCATTTCTAAGTTGAAGAGCCGGCGTTGTCCGTAGACACATCCAAAGTCATGTGGCTGGCAATAGGTACTACTTCCTGCCGGAGTTGTTGTTTATTTGTTCAGTCATCTCCGACTCTTCATGACCTCATGGACCAGCCCACGCCAGAGCTCCCTGTTGGCCGTCACCACCCCCAGCTCCTTCAAGGTCAGTCCAGTCACTTCAAGGATGCCATCCATCCATCTTGCCCTTGGTCGGCCCCTCTTCTTTTTGCCTTCTACTTTCCCCAGCATCATTGTCTTCTCTAGGCTTTGCTGTCTCCTCATGAAGTACTTCAACGTTGTCTCTAGTCTCCTTCCCTCCAGTGAGCAGTCGGGCTTTATTTCCTGGAGGATGGACTGGTTGGATCTTCTCGCAGTCCAAGGCACTCTCAGAACTTTCCTCCAACACCACATCTCAAAATCCAGTTTACTCTGTTATTATTATTATTATTAACTTTATTTATACCCCGTTAACATCTCCCGAAGGACTCGATGCGGCTTACAAAGGCCAAGGCCGCTAACAAAACAACAACATAACAATACAGCAATATTTTAATGTAATTTTAGAGTTTTTTTTAATACTGGTAGCCAGATCTTGTTCATTTTCAGGATGGACTGGTTGGATCTTCTTGCAGTCCAAGGCACTCTCAGAACTTTCCTCCAACACCACAGTTCAAAAGCATCTCTCTTCCTTCGCTCAAACTGATCTACTCACGTTTGCATGTTTTCAAACTGCTAGGTTGGCAGAAGCTGGGGCTGACAGCGGTAGCTCACACCGCTCCCCGGATTCGAACCTGTGACCTTTCGGTCAACAAGTTTAGCAACTCAGTGGTTTAACCCACTGCACCACCGGTTTATACACATAATAATTATATACTTTTAAAATATTCTGCCCTAGCTCCCTGAGGGGACTCAGGGTGGATTATAATACACATATACGGCAAACATGCAATGCCGTTATACAATTAACAAAGGCAGACAGTACATAAACACAGGTAAAGGCTTCCCATCTTTTTCCATCTCTGGCATCTGAAGGCTGTTCTCAACTCTGGCCAGAGGGGATGCTGTTGCTCCATCGTCCATGCCGAGGAGCTTTGTTGTCTTTAGACAATATCCCAATCGGATTGCCAGCATGTCCACAATGTATTACCTCCCTGCCAAAGCAGTACCTATTTAGGTTGTTGTAGGTTTTTTGGGCTATATGGCCATGTTCTAGAGGCAGTCTCTCCTGACGTTTCGCCTGCATCTATGGCAAGCATCCTCAGAGATAGCAAGGTCTGTTGGAACTAGGAAAAAGGGTTTATATAGCTGTGGAATGACCAGGGTAGGTCAAAGGACTCTTGTCTGCTGGAGCTAGGTGTGAATGTTTCAACTGACCACCTTGATTAGCATTTAATGGCCTGACATTGCCTAGAGCAAACTTTTGTTGAGAGGTGATTAGATGTCCTTGTTTGTTTCCTCTCTCTTGTTGTGCTGTTGTAATTTTAGAGTTTTTAAATACTGGTAGCCAGATTTTGTTCATTTTCATGGTTTCCTCCTTTCTGTTGAAATTGTCCACATGCTTGTGGATTTCAATGGCTTCTCTGTGTAGTCTGACATGGTGGCTGTGAGAGTGGTCCAGCATTTTTTTGTTCTCAAATAAAATGCTGTGTCCAGGTTGGTTCCTCAGGTGCTCTGCTATGGCTGACTTCTCTGGTTGAAGTAGTCTGCAGTGCCTTTCATGTTACTCGACTCGTGTTTGGGCGCTGCGTTTTCAAACTGCTAGGTCAGCAGAAGCTGGGCTGACAGTTGGGAGTTCTCCCCAACCTAGGCTTCAACCGTCACCCTTTCGATCAATATGATTTTCTGCAACTGGCGGTTTAACCCACTCAGCCCAGCCCATAAATGGAATTCATTAATGTTTCATATACACATAACCTGAAGGTTGTTTTATACCAAGCACGGGCAAACTTCGGCCCTCCAGATGTTTTGGATTTCAACTCCCATAAAGCCTAACAGCCTCTCTCCAAAACACCTGGAGAGAGGGCCGAAGTTTGCCCATGCCTGTTTTATCTATATAAATAAAAATGCAATGTTCGTTTGTGGGATTAACAGAACTCAAAAGCCACTGGGGGAATTGACACCAAATTTGGACACTATACCCCCAACAGACCAATAAGTGAACATCACTCATAAAAAAAACCCCAAAACAGCAGAAAGGACTTAAAAATCCCAAAAAGCTAAATGACATACAGAAAAAATGGAAAGAAGAGGGAGGAGGAGGGAGGAGGGAGAGGGAGGGAGGGAGGGAGGGAGGAGGGAGGGAAGAAGGAAGGAAGGAAGGAAGGGAAGGAAGGAAAGGAAGGAAGGAAAGAAAGAAGGAAAGAAGAAGAGAGAAGGAAAGAGAGAAGGAAGCATGGAAGCAAAGAACAAAGAAAGGAAGGAAAGAGGTAGAGAGGGAAGGAAGGAGAGAAAGTATTAGGAAAAGAAAAAGGGGGAAGGAAGGAATGAGGTAGAAAAGGAAGGAGAGAAAGAAAGAGGGAAGGAAAGAAAGAGTGAAGGAAGGCAGGAAAGAAGGATAGAAAGAGGGAGGGAAGGGAAGGGAAAGAGAGAAGGAAGGGTGGAAGCAAAAAGCGAAGGAAGGAAGGAAGGAAGGAAGAAAGAGGTAATTAAGATATTAATAGTTATTATAGTTTTGATTAATTATAGAAATTATTAAAATGTTCAAATGGTTAAGGATTATTATTTATAAAATGAAGTATAGAAAGAAATATTAATGAATAATATTAGGAATGCATTTAAAGAATGATTTAAATATTGATTTAATTTAATTTAAATAAAATAGAATAATGTTTTAAATACTAAATCTAAGTTATTAAGTACTTTATTAATTAATATTTCATTATAGTTAATTTAAGTATATAAATTATTAATTAAAATAAAATTTTTTAAGTAATTTATTATTTAGAATTAAGGAGTATAAATTAAGGAGGGTGATTTAATATAAGATTTATTAAGTCAGTAATATTATATAAAGCGAAGTTTATTTAAAGAGTAAGGGAATGGGTGTAATCAAAATGCTAAGGAAGGAAGGAGGGAATTAATGTATAGAAATAGGTAGAGAGGGAACTTAAATGTAATAAAAAGAAAAAGAAAGGAAGGAGAAGAGAGGAGAAAGGAAGGAGAAAGAAAGAAAGAAAAGGGAAGAAAGGAAAGAGGGAGTGAAGGAAGGAGGGAAAGAAAGGGAGAAAGAAGGAAGGAAAGAGAGAAGGAAGGATGGAAGCAAAAAGCGAAGGAAGGAAGGAAAGAGGTAGAGAAGGAAGAAAGAGGAGAAGGAAAGAAAAAAAGGAAAGAAGGAAAAGGAAGGAGGGGAAGAAGGAGAGAAAAAGAGAGGGAAGGTTGGCCACAGCAACGCATGGCGGGTACAGCTAGTACACAATAATATTTTAAAATCTCTTGGTGCATGAAACAAAAGTATAGGTACACTGAACCGTCGGAAAGCAAAGAGGTCACTATGTCAACCACCCATGCTGACAATTTTGGAATATTTCAGATTTTGGAATTCTGGATAAGGAATACTTAACCTGTATCATGTATGGATTACTCTATATTTTTCCAGGTCCTTTACATTCCGTTTGAAGTAACCTTTGCATTTCCCTCCCTTCTTCTCCCCAGCTGGTTAAAACTCACAACTTGATGACCAACCGGAACTACATCTTTGGCTACCATCCTCATGGAATCATGGGATTGGGTGCCTTCTGCAACTTCAGTACGGAGGCAACAGGCGTGGGCCAGAAGTTCCCTGGGATCCGACCATACCTTGCTACACTGGCCGGGAACTTCCGGATGCCCATTTTGAGGGACTACTTAATGTCCGGAGGTAAGGATTCCATGTGCAAAAACTTAACTCAATTGGATCTGTATATACCTTGAAGCCATCATAGAGTTGGAAGAGACCTCATGGGCCATCCAGTCCAACCCCATTCTACCAAGAAGCAGGAAAATTGCATTCAAAGCACCCCCGACAGATGGCCATCCAGCCTCTGTTTCAAAGCCTTCAAAGAAAGAGCCTCCACCACTCTCCGGGGCAGAGAGTTCCACTGCTGAACGGCTCTCACAGTCAGGAAGTTCTTCCTCATGTTCAGGTGGAATCTCCTTTCCTGAAGTTTGAAGCCATTGCTCCAACCTACTAGTCTCCAGGGCAGCTGAAAACAAGCTTGCTCCCTCCTCTCTATGACATCCCCTCACATATTTATACATGGCTATCATATGGAGCCCCCAGTGGGTTAAAGCGCTGAGCTGCTGAGCTTGTTGACCGAAAGGTCGCAGGTTTGCGGAGTGAGTGGAGTGAGCTTCCGCTGTCAGCCCTAGCTTCTGCCAACTTAGCAGTTCGAAAACATGCAAATGTGAGTAGATCAATAGGTACCTTCTCGGTAGTGGCCCCTCGGCTATGGAATGCGTTACCAGTGGACATCAGGCAGGCCCCTTCGTTGCTGGTGTTTCGAAGGAGGGTTAAGACGTGGCTCTATGAGCAGGCATTCGGTTAGCTATGCAGTAACAACCACCCAATAATGACGGCATTGAACAAGGATTGAATTAAGGACTATGAGAACGGGATCTGATTCTAAGTAGGCGTTGATGATTATGTGTATTGTTTGTCGATGTGCGTCTTATTTATTGTTCACTGTTTATTTTTACTGTAAACCGCATTGAGTCGCCGCTCCAGGCTGATAAATGCGGTATACAAATGGAGTAAATAAATAAATAAATAAATAATACCGCTCCAGTGGGAAGGTAACGGCGCTCCATACAGTCATGCCAGCCATATGACCTTGGAGGTGTCTATGGACAACGCCGGCTCTTCGGCTTAGAAATGGAGATGAGCACCAACCCACAGAGTCAGGCATGACTGGACTTAATGTCAGGGGACAACCGTTACCTTTTATCATGTTTCCTCTCAGCCTTCTCTTCTTCATGCTAAACATGCCCAGCTCTTTAAGCCGCTCCTCATAGGGCTTGCTCTCCAGATCCTTGATCATGCTTAGCTTCCTTCCATATGTTCACTCCTCCATCCCCTTGAGGTCTTGTGCACAACTGCAAATTCTTCACACTGGACGAGACACTCAGGGTGCATCTACACTGTAGAATTAATTACACTGGTTTTAACCTTTAAATCCCTAAATGGTTCTGGCCCGGACTATCTGTCCGAACGTATCTCCTGACACGAACCATCACGAAGTTTAAGATCTTCAGGAGACGCCCTCATCTCGATCCCACCACTATCGCAAACACAGTTGATGGGGACGAGATACAGGGCCTTCTCAGCAGTGACCCCTGCCTATGGAACGCCCTCCCTAGAGATATCAGATTGGTCACCTCCCTCTTGCCTTTTAGAAGGAAAATCAAGACCTGGTTATGGGACCAAGCGTTTGATCAGTGAGCAGAAAGTGGAAGAAGATGGCAATGAATTGACCCGGATGGTTTTTTTGGATTTCGATTTTAATGGATGTGACTTAATTAATTGTTTTAATTGTTGTTTTAATTTTTAATATTTTGATTGTACTGTGGTGGTTTTTATGGATATATGAATATGTTGTTGTAAAGGTTTACTTTTGTCCAAAATGCTCAGGTATCTGCCCGGTGAACCGCGACACCATAGACTTCATCCTCTCCAAGAACGGCACCGGGAACGCCATTGTGATCGTGGTGGGGGGCGCAGCCGAGTCCCTGAACTGCACGCCGGGCAAGAACTCCGTCACCCTCAAAAACCGGAAAGGCTTTGTGAAGCTGGCATTACGGCACGGGTAAGGAGAGGACAATGCCTTCCTGATGAAACCCTTGGATCAGGCATGGGCCAACTTGGGCCCTCCAGGTGTTTTGGACTTCAACTCCCACAATTCCTAACAGCCTACCGGCTGTTAGGAATTGTGGGAGTTGAAGTCCAAAACACCTGGAGGGCCCAAGCTGGCCCATGCCTGGTCTAATCCCTGGCGCAGCAAAAAACAAGATAATGTTTCACGTCTCCAAAGCTGTTCCATAATTGGAATTCTTCTTTATTCTAGGTATTTTTGACCTCAGTTCCCACAAACCTCAGCCAGTTTGACTGACAATAAGAGATTCTGGGAGCTGTAGTCTAAAATTAATGCAGGAACAAAGTAAGAGAATCTAGGGACCGAAAATCTGAACAGTTTCCACATTTTTTGTGTGTGTCAGGAGTGACTTGAGAAACTGCAAGTTGCTTCTGGTGTGAGAGAATTGGCCATCCGCAAGGACATTGCCCAAGGGATGTTTTTGGATGTTTTAACATCCTTGTGGGAGGCTTCTCTCAAGCCCCCGCATGGGGAGCTGGAGCTGACAGAGGGAGCTCATCCGTGCTCTCCCCAGATTCGAACCTGCGACCTGTCAGTCTTCAGTCCTAGGGTTTAATCCTAGTTTCCACATTGAGAGCATTTGGTTTGCAACATATGCAGAAAATTCCAGCAGGACTTGGAGAACTATTGCTACCTAGTGGAATCAGATGGAACTACAATGAATGCAGCAATAATCAAAACACATGTTGAGCATCCCTCATCCGGAACTCCAAAATTTAAAATACTGCATTCCCAAATTATTATTCTTATTTTGAGGTGCCCCCCAGTGGTGCAGTGGGTTAAACCCCTTTGCCGGCAGAACTGAAGACGGACAGGTCACAGGTTCAAATCCGGGGAGAGCACGGATGAGCTCCCTCTATCAGCTCCAGCTCCTCATGCGGAGACATGAGAGAATCCTCCCACAAGGATGATAAAACATCAAAACATCTGGATGTCCCCTGGGCAATGTCCTTGCAGACAGCCAATTCTCTCACACCAGAAGCGACTTGCAGTTTCTCAAGTCACTCCTTACACGGCAAAGAAATCTTATATTTATTTATGCCCCACTATATATCTCCCAAAGGAGACTCAAAGAAGCTTCCAAAAGTGTCCATATAGGTGACTGAGGGGCCTTCCAGACAGGACCTATATCCCAGGATCTGATCCCAGGTTTTCTATTTATTCCAGATTATCTGGCAGTACAGACTCATATAATCCAGTTTAAAGTTGGAAACCTGGGGTCAGATCCTGGGATATATGGCCTGTCTGGAAGAACTCTGGGAATAGTTGCCATCTTCCTTTCAGATGGCTGAATGTGCTTTAAGTTTCTTTGATGCTCATGCTCTTTGATGCATATGCTCTGAATGTCCTTTAAGTTTCTTTGTATTAAAGATATTGTTCTGCATCCCAATTCAAGGTGCAGGTTCTTACCTACAAAGCCCTAAATGGTTTGGGACCCACCTACCTGCGTGACCGCATCTCTGTGTATGAACCCACATGATCTCTTTGATCATCTGGAGAGGCCCTGCTCGCGCTCCCACCACCATCGCAAGCGCAACTGGTGGGGACGAGGGAGAGAGCCTTCTCGGTGGTGGCCCCTTGATTCTGGAACTCACTCCCCAAGGACATTAGGCATGCCCCAACTCTGGCAGTCTTTAGGAGGAGCCTGAAAACGTGGTTGTTCCAGTGTGCCTTCCCAGAATAAGGAAACTCCCAGCAATATATCCCTAAACGCACTTTACTAGTAATCTAGGTTTGTCTGCACATTTCATCCCTCTCCAAAACTTCTATCCTAGTTATATGTCACCTTGTCATGCCCAGCATTATTTTTAATATTTTAATTATTACATTAGGCCCAGCCATAGGTTTTTAAACGTGTCGTGTTATTGTTAATGTTTATTGCTTATTTTCTGCTTATGAGTTTATTTATTGTTTTGTATTATTGTTGTTATTGTTTATTGTTGAATTGTGGGCTCGGCCTCATGTAAGCCGCACCGAGTCCCTTGGGGAGATGGTAGCGGGATACAAATAAAGTTGTATTATTATTATTATTATTATTGCCTAAAAATACCTCTGCATCTAAGATGTATATGAAACATGACTGAATCGCATGCTTAGATTTGGCTCCTATCGCCAAAATATCTCATTATGCACATGTGTATAAATTAGGTATTCCAAAATCCAATATGATTTTGGTTTCAAGCTTTTCAAATAAGAGATATTTAACCTGTATAAGGCAGCTTTGTGTGTTCTTTACTCCTACAAGCTGTATTCCAAAAATGGAGGAATGTTCTTAGCTGTGCTCAAACTGCTTTAGCATCCAGGAAGGAAGGAAGAAAGGTGCTGAGATCTGGATTGTTTCCATTTTCCAGAGCGGATCTGGTGCCCATTTACTCCTTTGGCGAGAACGAGGTCTATGAGCAGGTGATCTTTGAAGAAGGCTCCTGGGGCAGGTGGGTGCAGAAGAAGTTCCAGAAATACGTCGGCTTTGCTCCCTGCGTCTTCCACGGACGGGGCCTCTTCTCCTCCACCAGCTGGGGATTGGTGCCATATTCCAAACCCATCACTACTGTCGGTAAGACTTCCCCAACCCCCGAGTATATATCATGACTGCAGCATTCCTCTGATCTACTTATTATTCTTGTAATTTCATCAATGAGTCCCCAGTGGGTTAAAGCGCTGAGCTGCATAACTTGTTGACTGGAAGGTCAGTCCGACAATCTGAAAAGCACCAGTTAGAGCAGACCTTTCCATAGATTTCATGTTGGTGACATGAAAATCTGTCATTTATATTTTTCAAAAATATATGATTATTTTTATTGCTTATTTCATGTAGACTTAGGGCAGCATTTCTCAACCTGGGGGTTGAGATCCCTGGGGTCGTGGGGGGGGGGGGGATGTCAGAGAGGTAACCAAAGACCATCAGAAAACACAGTATTTTCTGTTGGTCATGGGGGGTCTGTGTGGGAAGTTTGGGCCAATGTCTAATGTCCAAATGTCAAGGTCCATTTCCCCCAAACTACAACAGTGTTAACATTTTGGCATATTGAATATTCGTGCCAAGTTTAGTCCAGATCCATCATTGTTTGAGTCCACAGTGCTCTCTAGATGTAGGTGAACTACAACTCCTAGACTCAATGTCAATGCCCACCAAACCCTTCCAGTATTTTCTGTTGGTCATGGGAGTTCTGTGTGCCAGGTTTGGTTCAATTCCATCGTTGGTGGCGTTCAGAATGCTCTTTGATTGTAGGTGAACTATAAATCCCAGAAACTACAACTCCCAAATGACAAAATCAGTTTTTTTGAGTGATGGTTACTCCTGGGTTCGTAGGTGTCTTGTGACCAAATTTGGTGGCAATTAGTCCAGCGGTTTTTGAGTTATGATTCTTACTCAAAAGAAACAGAGCATTTTAGATGGATGGATGGATGGATGGATGGATGGATGGATGGATGGATAGATGGATAGATAGATAGATAGATAGATAGATAGATAGATAGATAGATAGATAGATAGAAGGATGGATGGATGGATGGATGGATGGATGGATGGATGGATGGATGGATGGATGGATGGATGGATGGATAGATAGATAGATAGATAGATAGATAGATAGATAGATAGATAGATAGATAGGGGCTGAGATAATGACACCTCTTCCCCCTGAGGGATCTGTGTCCAAAAATGTTGTTTCATGTACAAAATTGGTAAATTTATATTCTATACAATTATCTTCCAACAACTACAACTCCTAAATGACAAAATCAATCCCCTTCCAATGCCACCACTATTCAGATTTGGGCGTATCAGATATTCGTGCCAAATTTGGTCCAGTGAATGAAAATATTAGATGTTTACATTGTGATTCATAACAGTAGCAAAATTACATTTATGAAGTAGCAACGAAAAAAATTTATAGGTGGGGGTCACCACAACATGAGGAACTGTATTAAGGAGTCGTGGCATTAGGAAGGTTGAGAAACACTAACTTAGGGGTTTCTCGTTTTGTTTGTGCGCCACACACATGTTGTGAAGGCAACACAGAGTTTGGAAAGCTCTGCGTTAGAGGAAATCTGTTTGAGGTTCTTGGACTGCATCTCACTTTCCTTTTCCTTTTCAGTTGGGGAGCCCATCACCATTCCCAAAATCGAAAATCCCAGCCAGAAGGAAATAGACCTTTATCACAGCCTCTACATGAACTCTCTGATTAAACTTTTCGACAAGTACAAGACAAAGTTTGGCCTGCCAGAAACAGAGGTCTTGGAAGTCAATTGACGGGCACCAGAGACGATCCTTCGGTCTTGCGTTTTCGGCGGCAGAAAGACACTTGGCAAAGAGACACTTTTTCTTCGCCTGCCGGAATCCAAGTTGTGTTCTTCTTTTTTTGTTTGGTCTCTTGTCTGTGAACTGGGGAAGTGAGCATGGAAGTGTGCGTCAGCTTTTTAAAAGGACAAAAGGAAATTATGTTTGTCTAAATATTCGAAATGTTAGACTTCTCTAGGAACGTTTTATTTTTCGGTTTCTTTGCGTTTCCTGCTCTGTCGGTGACATGGTACCGCTCCCCACATTGAATGGGAAGAGACCACAAGGCACTGAGTTGCCCTTGGAAATGGCCATTTGGGGTCGAAAACAGAGCCCTTCTTTAGATTCTGGCCACTGAGTGACCATCTCTGGCTTGGGATCCCCAGGAGGCCTTTCTCAGGTGTATCAGCCTGAGACCCTATTAGCCTGGGATAATTCGGGACCAAGCCTGGAAGCTTCTGCAGGCAAGCCATGTATTCTGCCCTTCCTAGTCAACTGATAACAAAATAGGGTTTGTGGAACAAAGCACTTATTTGGACTGGAGTTTGATTGGCCAGCCTCGATGGAGCAGGCATTGTGTCCAGTGCCATTCCCAAGTGGCGATAAGTAATAATATATGAAATGTTTTGGGTTATTTTTGTGTGTCAGGAGCAAATTGAGAAACTGCAAGTCGCTTCTGGTGTGAGAGAATTGGTGGTCTGCAAGGACGTCGCCCAGGGGATGCCCGGATGTTTTTTGATTTTTTACCATCCTTGTGGGAGGCTTCTCTCATGCCCCCGCATGGAGAGCTGGAGCTGACAGAGGGAGCTCATCCCTGCTCTCTCTGCAACCTGTCAGTCTTCAGTTCTGCCGGCCCAGGGGACGCCCAGATGTTTTTTGATGTTTTACCATCCTTGTGGGAGGCTTCTCTCATGCCCCCGCATGGGGAGCTGGAGCTGACAGAGGGAGCTCATCCGTGCTCTCTCTGCAACCTGTCCATCTTCAGTCCTGCCAGCCCAGGGGACACCTGGATGTTTTGACGTTTTACCATCCTTATCGGAAACTTCAGAAATCCCAGGTGGCGCAGTGGGTTAAACTACTGAGTTGCTAAGCTTGTTGACCGAAAGGTTGCACGCTCGAACCCAGGGAGCAGCATGAGCTTCCGCTGTCAGCCCCAGCTTCTGTTAACCTAGCAGTTCGAAAACATGCAAATGTGAGTAAATCAATAGGTACTGCTCTGGCAGGAAGGTAATGGCGTTCCATGCAATCATGCTGGCCAAATGACCTTGCAGGTGTCTACGGACAACGCTGGCTCTTCGGTTTAGAAATGGAGATTAGCACCACACCCCAGAGTCGGACACAACTGGACTTAATGTCAGGGGCAAACCTTTACCTTTACTATCGGAGGCTTCTCTCATGTTCCCACATGGGGAGCTGGAGCTGACAGAGGGAGCTCATCCCACTCTCCTTGGATTCGAACCTCCAACCTATTGGTCTTCAGTCCTGCTGGCACAAGGGTTTAACCTATTGGACTACCTGGGGCTCCATAAGAAATGCTATGAGTTGTATGTTGAAATTCAGTTGGTTGTCCCTCTCCAGGGATTCTGCATCCATGGAGTCAACCAACCATGGTTCCTCCTTTAGGCTCCCATTTTGTAGTTCCACAGGCTCTCTCTAGCAGTCATTTGACATATTCGCCATTTTATACAAGGGTTGTCGCTTTGCTATGCCATTGTATATATTGGGACTTGAGCCTCCATTGATTTTGGTATCTATGTGGATCTTGCAAAAAAGCCCCAGCGAATCTACCAAGGGCCCACTGTATCATTGCAAGCAGTCCTCTCCTCTCCACAGCTGCATGTGCTGTGACATTCCAGCAGTACTTTTCTGTGGAAGTTGGACCCATTGGGCTAGATTCAAATTATACATCTACAATTGGCAAACACTAGATCCCCGGGTTTATTTTATTTATCGTGTCAGGAGCAAACCTAACAGTTGTATTGCATTTTAAACAAACAAGCAAAACACAAAGTTTGCAAGCTTGATAGTTGATTAAATGTCCTCTAACCAGTATCTGGCCACTTGGAGTGCCTCTGGTGTTGCCGCAAGGAGGTCCTCCATTATGCATGTGGTGGGGCTCAGGTTGCATTGCAGCAGGTGGTCAGTGGTTTGCCCTTCTCCACACTCGCATGTCGTGGATTCCACTTTGTGGCCCCATTTCTGAAGGTTGGCTCTGCATCTCGTGGTGCCAGAGCGCAGTCTGTTCAGCACCTTCCAAGTCGCCCAGTTTTCTGTGTGCCCAGGGGGGAGTCTCTCATTTGGCATCAGCCATTGGTTGAGGTTCTGGGTTTGAGCCTGCCACTTTTGGACTCTCGCTTGCTGAGGTGTTCCAGCGAGTGTCTCTGTAGATCTTAGAAAACTATTTCTTGATTTAAGTCATTGACGTGCTGGCTGATACCCAAACAGGGGATGAGCTGGAGATGTCTCTGCCTTGGTCCTTTCACTATTGGCTGCTACTTCCCGGCGGATGTCAGGTGGTGCAATACTGGCAATTTCTCCATTGGTGTAGGGTGCAGCCACCCCGTGATTATGCGACATATCTCATTAAGAGCCACATCCACTGTTTTAGTATGGTGAGATGTGTTCCACACTGGGCATGCATACTCAGCAGCAGAGTAGCATAGCGCAAGGGCAGATGTCTTCACTGTGTCTGGTTGTGATCCCCCAGTGGTGATCCCCCAGTTAAACCCTTGTGCTGGCAGGACTGATGACTGACAGGTCGAAGGTTCAAGGATGTTAAAGCATCAAACATCCAGGTGTCCCCTGTGCAGAGGCGGCCCTAGGTAATTTTCAACAGTAAGCAAACAGTATTTTGGCACGCCTCCCCCCAACCAATCACTGATATCTATTTTCTGTTCGTCGTAGGAGTTCTGTGTGCCATATTTGGTTCAATCCCATCATTGGTGGAGTTCAGAATGCTCTTTGGTTGTAGGTGAACTATACCTCCCAGTAATTACAACTCGCATATGTCAAGGTCTATTTTCCCCCAAGAGCGCCTCAAGAGTGCCCCTGGGCAAAATCAAATATACTGCAAATGCTTACTTTGCGTAATGGGTTGAGCCGCCCCTGCCCCTGGGCAATGTCCTTGCAGACAGCCAATTCAATCAATCAATCAATGATTTATTACGGTGTTTGACCAGCACAGAATAGAATGAGGCACAGGAGCCCAAGGAAGGGAATCGTAGATAGCCAATTCTCACACACCAGAAGCGACTTGCAGTTTCTCAAGTTGCTTCTGACATGGAAAAAAATTGGAAAACTCAACCAGATTCAGAGTGGACCCTCAGCATTTTGTCGTTTTTGTGTGAGCTGATTGCACCATCTCATATTTTCTTTTGCATTCACTTTATGGCATAAGGAAAGACAGGGAATAGTGGCGTGAAGGGGCCCACTAGTGGGAAGGATTAAAGGGAATGGAAATGGAACTTTTTTATGGAAAATGCACCAAAAAAAAGGACGTGAAGGAGACTTTTTTTCCCATAGGAATAAAGAGTCCTCTTTCAATAACAAAGGAGACCAAAGAAAATGGAAACTTTACTGACCCCTCCTAGAAGGCTAGAAGCCATGCAGAAATCACCTCTTTGTTATTGAAGCAGCAAAAAACAAAGTTTTAATTCGAGGGGGGAAAGAAGGTGGTCGCTAGTCCTCATGGTTCCAAAGAAAAGGCTAGAATTGCACAGGCACCTTTCTGGGATTGTTTATTTTGAAATCCAAAGTCTACGTTTTTTTTATTTCTCTGACTTCATGGAATGCATACTCACGTCTGTAGCCACCCTCTTTCAGTGGTACTGTAGTCAATTCTGTTTTACACAACCGATGTTACGTGGCGCAAGGGGATTTCTTTTTGGGAAAGGTATCTCCTTGGAAGCACAAGCAATGCAACTTCTCAACTTCTCATATTTTTTCCTCCTGTTTTTCTCCCCTTTCTTTCTTCACCTTGTTGTACGAATGGGGCTGGGAACCAAAGACCAGGTCTGAAAGCAGATTTGGCTCAGCTCATTGCTTTCCTCAGTATCCTCACGTTCTCCCTTTCTTCATCTTGGTCTTGCTAGAACAGTGGTTCCCAACCTTTTTATGACCAGGGGCCACTTTGACCTGGGACCACTCCCCAACATTAGTACCAAAAGGGTTACGAATCAGTTTTTGGTCAACTTCAGATTCAGTTTGGTTATTTTGGGTGCTGATTCAGAAAATTGCATTGGCTAGACCACATCAGCTCTAGTTTCTGATACAGAACATATGCCATCCAGGACTCACCATCTGCCCACCCACAGAAAACCATATTTCATAATCTAGAGTTGATATGGTAGTAGGAATCTTTAGTGGGTAGTCAGCCTCTCCCCTCCCGACATCCCAGTTGCCTTGGCACTATAATAAGGTTTTGCAAGACCAGTAACTCTCGTTGCTGCATGTTTTCAAGGCAACGGTGTAGTAATTATGAGGTCGCCAACCATATTTTTGTTCTTGGGGACCACTGGTGCTCCACGGACCACAGGTTGGGAACCACTGCTCTAGAAGTAATCGACATCATAGATTTTTTTTGAAAGGGAACCAACATGGTTTGGGTGTGTTGTATGTCAGCCTGTTCAGCCTGTGATTGTGTCTGATGCTCATGATGGGAATGATACTCATGACTGGGTTGTTGTAGGTTTTTTCGGGCTATATGGCCATGTTCTGGAGGCATTCTTTCCTGATGTTTCGCCTGCATCTATGGCAAGCATCCTCAGGGGTAGTGAGGTCTGTTGGAACTAGGAAAAAGGGATTTATATATCTGTGGAATGACCAGGGTGGAACAAAGAACTCTTGTCTGTTGGAACTAGGTGTGAATGTTTCAAATGACCACCTTGATTAGAATTTGATGGCTTGGCAGTGCCTGGAGCAATCTTTTTTTGAGAGGTGATTAGATGTCCCTGAGAACACAGAAATGCTGGACCACTCTAACAACCACCATGTCAGACTACACAAAGAAGCCATTGAAATCCACAAGCATGTGGACAATTTCAACAGAAAGGAGGAAACCATGAAAATGAACAAAATCTGGCTACCAGTATTAAAAAACTAAAATGTAAACAGCAAAGCAGCAGAGGGAAAACAATCAGGGACATCTAATCACCTCTCAACAAAAGATTCCTCCAGGCACTGCCAATCCATCAAATGCTAATCAAGGCAGTCATTTGAAACATTGGTCAAGGTGGTCATTTGAAACATTCACACCTAGCTCCAGCAGACACGAGTTCTTTGTCCCACCCTGGTCTTTCCACAGATATATAAACCCATTTTCCTGATTCCAACAGACCTCACTACCTCTGAGGATGCTTGCCATAGATGCAGGCGAAACGTCAGGAAAGAATGCCTCCAGAACATGGCCATATAACCCGAAAAAAACCTACAACAACCCAGTGATTCTGGCCATGAAAGCCTTCAACAATACATTGATACTCATGATGATGTTCATATTGATATACATAATGGGAATGGGGATGATGTCCCTGATGATGGGCCAGGGAATGTGGGTTTGCCCGGGCCAGAGTTAAGTTCAGAAGAGAGGTCTGAGCAAGGTCACGTTCCTATAATAAGGTTTCGCGAGACCAGTTGCTCTCATTGCAACATGGTTTCAAGGCAACGCCGTAGTAATGGTGAGGCTGTGGACCATGCTTTCATTTTTGTGGACCACTGGTGGTCCACGGACCACAGGTTGGGAACCACTGTGTTAGAATGACTTGACTTTCAAAAATTGCTTATGTTATAAATAATGTCAGTATGCTGGAAGTTACTGCATACTTCCAGCATACTGGAAGTATGCTTGAAGTATGCAGTAGAAGTTTGGCCATGTCTGGTATATATTCTTCTATAAGTCAACCTCCTATATAAGTAGAGGGCAGGTTTTGGGGCCAAAACAATCCATTGCGATGTGACCCATGGATAAGTCGAGGGCAGAAAGGAGAAAAGCGTAAATCATCATAAAATCAAGAAAAAAGGTTCTGTTTAAACGTGTTTTTTTTGCTATTTGCCACCAAAATTTGCAACCAAGTCACATGACGAAAGCAAACATCCTCAGCATCTGTTCTAAAGTCTTTTAGACATTGGAGCGAATTGGTTCCAGAACACCTAATATGAAAAGTATAGTAGCCTTTTGAAGAAGGAGTGCTGACTCTCTGAAAAGACTGTGTCTTTAAATCTTAAGCAGGAATACAATATTTTGCAGGAAGCAACGCTTACCTGCGCATCTGGAAATCCCTGTTTTTCAAGAAGACTCTACGAATTCCTCAGTTCCGCAATGAATGTATATAACGATAGCTCTTCTGCACAAATGTATTGACTGTTTATTTTTTACTGTTTACATGGAAGTCGACTGAAGCTTTTTAGAGAAATATATTCAGAGCCCAAACGTACGTGCGCATATCTATATACCTATTTAAATGTTTTGCACTACTTGCATGTTTAACCTGCCGCCTTCCGTTGTTTTAATCGTGGGTAACGATCCAAGCTCAAAATGTGCCTTCGGGTGAATGCAAGGCGCCAGGGCTTTGGTTCTGGGGCTCTTGCATCCCCGTGATCTTAAAACATGAAGTGTATACAGATCTTTAAAAAGAGATGCTCCGACCTTTGGGGCATTTCGTGGAATATTGTATATCAGGAAAAAAAAAGATTTTTGTACAAATTTATAGAAATAAATGTAAGGAAAAATAATGTGTCCGTTTTCCATCTGTCTTGTCACAATTGTCCTGTTTCACTCTTGAGAAACAGCCTTAATGCAAAATTGAAAGTAAAAGAAAAATGCTTTACTCCAGCAAACAAAATAAGCAAATGCAATTGAAAAAGGAAACAAGGAAGTCTTACTACAGACACCAATGAAAGTCTTTAGCAAAGTCCCAGCAAAATCAGCAGACAAGAAGACACAAATCACGAAGTCTTAAACACAAAGTAGGTCATGGCAGTAACAGAGTTGTTAGGTTCTTGTGGGGTTTTTTCGGGCTATATGGCCATGTTCTAGAGGCATTTCTCCTGACGTTTCGCCTGCATCTATGGCAAGCATCCTCAGAGGTAGTGAGGTCTGTTGGAATTAGGACAATGGGTTTATATATTTGTGGAATGGCTGGGGTGGGGCAAGGAGCTCTTCCTTGCTGGAGCTAGGTGTGAATGTTTCAACTGATCACCTCATTAGCATTTGAAGGCTTGGCTGAGCCTGGGAAAATACCCTGTTGAGAGGTGTTAAGATGTGTTGTTAGCAGTGAAAAGCTAAGTTCTCCTGCTTCTGATTTAGGGTGTCACCCAATTAGCTCATCAATCTTTTAGCAGCTAATCAAGCTGACCACCGCCTGTTCTCTGACTCCCTCCGTCTTTCTACCAAAGTAGGCACCTGCAAAACCTCATTGTCCGATTGTTCTTCCTCTCCCTCCAAGACCTGAGAACCTCCCTGCTCCCCTTCCTCTTCTGACGATGGGGAATCCTCAACAACAATCCAGATGTGTGTGGTGCATTTGTATTATGAGACAGACCTTCAGAGTTTTTAGAAGCTAAGGATTAAGTTTCTCAACCTAGGGGGTCACAAGGAGGTTTCGGAGGGGTCGCCAATGACCATCAGAAAACACATCTTTCTGATAGTCATAGAAGCATAGTTGGAAGAGACCTGTGCCGTCACACCCAGACACTATAAAAATAAAACTAAGATGTGCTTCTCTCTATATCTGAGTGAACTGCGGATCTCTCTCTTAAAAGCTTGAGATTCCCAGCAACGGAGGCTACTACAGGTTTTGAACACCAAAAACAGAATATTTATTTCTTCAAAGTCCTTGCAGACTTGGCACAGCTTGTCAAAGTTACAAACAAAACAGTCAATTGGTGAAACCACAGAGATGTTCTTTCTTTCTTTTCCCCCCCTCTAGTCGCTGAGTTGCCTTCCTCCAAATGGTAGAAAAAATCCTGAGATCTTTTTACCCCAACCCTGAGCTACTATCTTTTAGAAAGCGTAGGCCTTCCCTATTCCAGCCCAAGGTTAGTTTTGGAGATGGAGCAAGTATCTCAATAGCCCTCAATAACTATCTCAATAGTCCTTTATACTAAATAGCTCAAAATCTCAATATGCTTCTCTATAGCTCAATAGAATCTCAATTCCTATCTATAACTCAATTAAGACTCAATAAGCTTATCTATCTATCTATCTATCTATCTATCTATCTATCTTAATGACTCAGTTACTGTCTGTCTATAACTCAATTAAGACTCAATTGAGACTCACTTTCTCTCTTTGTTTGTTTCTTGATCTAAATAACTCAATTACTCAATCGTACTTACAATTGTTTTTTCAGAGCTCCCTGACTGGCCTAACAGCACATCTAAGGCTTTTTCTCTAAACTGAAGTAGGCAGGGAAGATTCCAAAATGGAGATCTCAAACCCTAGGGAAAAGGGTGGTCTCTAAACCCAAAGAGATACTTTCTAAACCAATAGCTGCAAAAAGGCCTGCAGGCTGGCTTTCCAGCCTCTGATGCTGTTAACTTTCAGGATGCAGCTGAAATTGTAGCAACCCTGGGGAAATGCAAAAGAATCTTGTGCAGCTAAAAGGCAATGTAAACCATGCTCCTGGAAGACGGAACAAGACCTCATGGGCCATCCATTCCAACTCTCTGCCAAGAAGCAGGAAAATCGCATTCATAGAATCATAGAATCAAAGAGTTGGAAGTGACTTCATGGGCCATCCAATCCAACCCCCTGTGAAGAAGCAGGAATATTGCATTCAAAGCACCTCCGACAGATGGCCATCCAGCCTCTGCTTAAAAGCCTCCAAAGAAGGAGCCTCCACCACACTCTGGGGCAGAGTTCCACCGCTGAACAGCTCTCACCATTAGGAAGTTCAGGTGGAATCTCCTTTCCTGTAGTTTGAAGCCATTGTTTCGTGTCCTAGTCTCCAGATGGCCATCCAGCCTCTGATTAAATCCTCCAAAGAAGGAGCCTCCGCCACACTTTGGGGAAGAGAATTCCTGTAACTTGGGGACTGCTTGTGTACATATATTTTGCCAAACAAGTGGCCCATGAATGCTCTCTAAGCCAACATTGCAAAGTGTGGTCTTCAAGTATAGTGGTTAGACCATGTGTTAGTATAGTGGTTAGACCATACACAAGTCTACTGGCAACGGCTCAGTGGGAGTTGTAGTTTTACAAATCCATTAGTTGTCTCTGCCAAGGGAGCTTGGAACTTCCCACCAGAGTGGAAAACATCTATTGGCTAAATGGCCAGCTATTCAACCTCAGCAGACTGAAAGCCAAAACCAAGGTCACAACGACATGTTATAGAACTCCAATATGCTGATGATAACATATTCTGTGCAAATGCAGAAGAAGACCTACAAGCCACTCTAAACACCTTTGCAGAAGCGTACAAAAAGCTTGGCCTGTCATTGAACATTGAGAAGACCAAAGTGCTCTTCCAGCAGTCAACAGCCAATCCCTCTCCAATGCCAGAATGGTGTAAGAATGGTGTAAGATTAGAAAATGTCGACCATTTCCACTCCCTTGGTAGCCACCTCTCCACAAAAGTCAACATTGACCTTGAAATACAACATTGCCTGAGCTCTGCAAGTGCAGCATTTTTCTGAATGAAGCAGAGAGTGTTTGAGGACCGGGACATCCGTAGGGAGACCAAGATCCTCGGGCTACGAGGGATCGCCTAAGTAAGTAAATAAGTAATCCTGCAGAAATAAACGTTTTCTCTCCAATACTTATTTGTTAATAATAATTGAGAAGAATAGCTCCCCGTTTGAATAAAAACAACCCTCCGTTCTTTAAAACTCATATAATCCTGAAATGTAAACATTAAAATTAACAATGGCTTTATTCTTTATAATTTTCATTTCTTAAAAAGCAAACGCCAGCGGCAACTTGTAGGTTAAGTTTCCCCATTAAGCAGGAATCTCCATAGTTAGGAGGATTAGTCCGGAAACCTTGGGTGACCAAACACATAAGACTCTTAAGCTCTCGCTCATTCGGTGCTTACAAGTCAAATGATTAATCCAAGCAGAAACCGGGTTGCTGCGATGGCCGTCTGCGCCACTTGACCTCCAGTGTCCTAAAATCAGAATTGTGATCCAACTTCCCAAATACAAAAGATACAAAATACAGTCAGTCCCCAAGTTCCAACATCTGACTTACAAATTACTCATAGTTAAGAACAGGGGAGAGACAACAGGAAGTGAGAGGAATTGACCCCTCGGAAAGAAGATTCACTCCTGGAAGAGTTGTTATCATGGGGAAAAGGGATCTCCATTGAAGCTTTTTCTCTAAACCTTGTTTCCATACAAAGCCAAATTTTTCAAAATCCAGTGATCACAAAGAGTTGAAATCTTCTGAACAGGAGCACTGTGCTGTCACACGCTGGGCCTGAAATAATGTCTGTTTACAGTACGTACCTTCTGTATGCCCAACGGGACGCTGGGGTGCCTCGGCTGAAGGGCCCCTTAGATTTCCCAACACAAAGTTCTATTGAGGCTCAAAATAAGTTCAACAAAGTTCTTTATTTGGGCTTAAATCTTCAAACAAATGAATTAAATGCTTTATAACCTTGGAAAACCAGTAGCTTCCTCAATCTGCTATCAAGGGCAGGCAACTGGTGGTAAACTATTCCTTTCTTCCTTAGGAAAATCTTCTGACCCCTCCCTGGGCAATCTTTCTTTACCTTGTTGGCTTGAGGCCCCTAGTCCCGGCTCCAAGCTACTTTATGGATAGCCCAAGTGGCCCCTTACCAGACACGGTTGCTGTAGATCTGCCAAGCCAAAAGGTGTCCTTTAGTTTTACTCCACGAAGGCTGTAGGAGCTGTCCTGTTGCCCCAGCAAAAGCTGGCTGTATTCCCCCAGCAAAAGCTGTGGGACTATCCCTTTACTCCCCTTGCAGAGCTGTGAGTAGTGAAGCCTTTGTGCAGGTGGGATAGAGATACCCACACGTCCTGCTGTTAGGCTCCAAACAGTGAGACTGAACAAAAGTCCTCCTTTGCTTCCAAAACCCTGGGGAAAGGGGCGGGTCTAAAGACTCTAACGATGATTGCCAGGTTGCTGGCCCTATGACTGCAACCTGGGGAAGCTACCTGATTGCAAAATGCGTGGCTAAATAAATTCATACAAACTAGCAGTGCAAGAAAAAGAAATTCAAATCTCCTGGCACTGCCGTGCCAGAACAAGCACAGACAGCAAAACAAACACCATAGGAGTGTTAACTGTTTCCTATGTTATTAAAAACTAACATCTACCCATAAAATAAAATTGAATATATGTATGTGGGTGGTGGTGTATGTTTGTGGCAGCTTTCCTACTGACTCCCACTTCCAACCACTGTGACCCCCATCAGATGGATCTGGACCAAACTTGGCACATAAAACCCCCATGACCAACAGAACATACCACCTGACGGGAGTTGTAGTTCACCCTGCCTCCGGAGCACTCTGATGCTCACCAATGACGAATCTGGGCCAAACTTGGCACCCAGAACTCTGATGACCAACATAACACAATAGAAGGGTTTGTGGGGGGCACAAGACCCAACATAACCAACTTTGAATCCTGGCGGGGTTTGGGAGTGATTGACCTTGGAGAGCACTGAATCTAGTCAACAACAGATCTGGACCTAACTTGGTACACAAACCCAACATGGCCAACTTTGAACCCTGGTGGGAATTGGGGAGGATTGACCCACAATTTTGGGAATTGTTGTTTACCCACATCCTTATGCATTTTAAAATGGGAGCATTCATAAAAAACAAAAGCAACACCTGACTTTTTTTCTAATAAATAGTGTAAAAATTACCAAACTGATATGACCTAACACCCAAAAACAAATGCCTTTTTCAAATAACCTGGGCATTACTAAGTACCCAAGCACATCAAGCCAACCCTGACCAGGACCACCTTCCACCTGGAAACCAACGCCCTCACTGCGGGAGAACATGCGGTTCAAGAATAGGGCTCTACAGTCACCTACATACCCACTGCCATTGACTATTCTAAAGCCTTTGACTGTGTGGATCATAATAAATTGTGGCAAGTTCTTAGTGGGATGGGCATACCAAGCCACCTTGTCTCTCTCCTGAGGAATCTGTACAAGGACCAAGTAGCAACAGTCAGAACTGACCACGGAACAACAGACTGGTTCAAGATTGGGAAAGGCGTACGGCAAGGCTGCCTCCTCTCACCCAACCTTTTTAACTTGTATGCAGAACACATCATGCGATGTGCGGGGCTGGATGAATGCAAAGCTGGGGTGAAAATTGCTGGAAGAAACATTAACAACCTCAGATATGCAGATGACACCACTCTGATGGCCGAAAGCGAGGAGGAGCTGAGGAGCCTTCTAATCAAGGCGAAAGAAGAAAGCGCAAAAGCCGGGTTGCAGCTAAACGTCAAAAAAACCAAGATTATGGCAACAAGAATGACTGACAACTGGAAAATAGAGTGGAGGCCGTGACAGACTTTGTATTTCTAGGTGCAAAGATTACTGCAGATGCAGACTGTGGCCAGGAAATCAGAAGACGCTTACTTCTTGGGAGGAGATCAATGTCCAGTCTCGATAAAATAGTAAAGAGTAGAGACATCAGACTGGCAACAAAGATCCGCCTAGTCAAAGCCATGGTATTCCCTGTAGTAACCTACGGATGTGAGAGCTGGACCTTAGGGAAGGCTGAGCGAAGGGAGAGAGATGCCTTTGAACTGTGGTGTTGGAGGAAAGTGCTGAGAGTGCCTTGGACTGCGAGAAGATCCAACCAGTCATCCTCCAGGAAATAAAGCCCGACTGCTCACTGGAGGGACCAGATGTGGACAAGACAAAGTTGAAGTCCCGTGGGCCACATCAGAGGGTAAGACAGCTCGTGCAAGAGCCTAGAGAAAGCATTATCTGGGAAGCGTCAATTGCCACGAGGATGGTCCGGGAAGGTGAATTTGGTTCTCATGGCTTTCGAGGTCGATCTATCTGCACGGTTGTGGCAGAAGAGGCTGTGACGTAGAATGCTTTGGTGGTTATCTCGTTAAAGGACTAAAGGGATCGCGTGATCTAACGTTCCGGTAACTCGAGGGAGCTGCTACTATCGATATTGTGGAGAAGGGAGTGAGCTGTTAGATGCTGGATCGGCGCGTAGAGATGCGGCCAGCATGACGGGAGTCTTTCTCGGGAATACTTCTAATCTCTGTCTGTTCATGTGGGAAAGAAGGATCGATCGAACTTTAGATGTACAGAGAATTTTGTCCCGAAGAGCAGGTCGCGAATTAAGGGGTCGCTAGCTCTTTCGAAGGATACGGAAAGAGGACGAGCGTAGAAAGGACTGAGACAGCCATGAGGGGGGGAGAGAGTGGAGGTTTTATGATAATAGTAGGTAGTGGCGTTGGATGTGTGAGCAAACTGTTGGCTCAAGACATGCCATACGGAAGTATAGCGAAGTGCGAATGTGACCACACACAAGAGGAGGCGCGTAGACGGACAAAAAGGGGGTTGACAATAGCAACAGCGGCCCACGTATGAGAGGTACTGAGCACACCGATTATTGACAGTCCTAGTGGAGACAGAGCTCTAAGCTGTGAGATGGGATTAAGCCTCCTGTAAAATCGTGGAAGCGGCGCCTAGACAAAGTAGCGAAGTAGCGGCGAGGGGGAATACCAGAGCGAACGTTAGACTGGCTTCTCTAGCCGGAAGAGGGATGGGCGTGGGGAGAGACAGCAGAAAAGAGACGTTGTGACGCTGGTGGGAAGGTGTGACGGGGGAGGAAGAGGCGGTGAAAGAGGAACAGGAAAGGCCTCGTAGTGATGTGTTCAAACCGGTCGAGCGATGGGAAGAACACTCGGGAGGGAGAGGTGAGCGTGCACAGCAAACGGGCGGGTCAACGAGAGGAGGAACGGCGAAAGAGAGAGGAATAGCGGGGGTGTGCGGGGCTTTGGTGGCCAATAGTCTGGAGGGCGTGAGATCAGACCGAGGTGAGATTGAAGGTCACAAAGGCGAGGGATATCATGCGCAGAAAGAAAGAACGAGTGAGGAGAGCGCAATCTGTTCAGCGCCTTCCAAGTCGCCCAGTCTTCTGTGTGCCCAGGAGGGAGTCTCTCATCTGGTATCACCCATGAATTGAGGTGCTGGGTTTGGGCCTGCCACTTTTGGACTCTCGCTTGCTGGGGTGTTCCAGCGAGTGTCTCTGTAGATCTAAGAAAACTATGTCTTGATTTAAGTCGTTGACGTGCTGGCTGATACCCAAACAGGGGATGAGCTGGAGATGTCTCTGCCTTGGTCCTTTCACTATTGGCTGCTCCTTCCTGGCGGATGTCAGGTGGTGCAATACCGGCTAAGCAGTGTAATTTCTCCAGTGGTGTAGGGCGCAGACACCCCGTGATAATGCGGCATGTCTCATTAAGAGCCACATCCACTGTTTTAGCGTGGTGAGATGTGTTCCACACTGGGCATGCATACTCAGCAGCAGAGTAGCACAGCGCAAGGGCAGATGTCTTCACTGTGTCTGGTTGTGATCCCCAGGTTGTGCCAGTCAGCTTTCATATGATATTGTTTCTAGCACCCACTTTTTGCTTGATGTTCTGGCAGTGCGTCTTGTAGGTCAGAGCACGGTCCAGAATGACTCCCAGGTATTTGGGTGTGCTGCAATGCTCAAGTGGGTTTCCTTCCCAGGTCATCCTCAGAGCTTGGGATGCATGGCTGTTCTTAAAGTGAAAGGCACATGTCTGTGTTTTAGATGGATTAGGGATCAGCTGGTTTTCCCTGTAATAGGCAGTAAGAGCACCTAGAGCTTCAGAGAGCTTCTGTTCAACCATCTCAAAGCTCCCTGCTTGAGCAGTAATGGCACGATCATCAGCATAGATGAAATTCGCTGTCCCTTCTGGCAGTGGCTGGTCATTTGTGTAGATGTTGAACATGGATGGAGCAAGCACGCTCCCCTGAGGCAGGCCGTTCTTCTGTTTCCGCCATCTGCTTCTCTGGCCCTGGAACTCAACAAAGAAGCTCCTGTTTTGTAGCAGGTTTCCTATGAGGCAGGTGAGGTGGTCGTCCTTTGTGTGATATATGTATATATATGTATAATATTATTGATTATGATGATGAAGATAGGCATACAGGTTGGATAGGCTTGAAAACTATCCCTGGGAAAGGGATATAGAAGTCTTAATAGTCCCCCAAGCTAGACTTGAGCCAACAATGTGATGCAGCAGCGAAAAAGGCCAAGTCCATTCTAGTTTGCCTCAAAAATAGAGGAGTGTGCCTGTCCCTTTAAGGAAGAAGGCCTGTTGCTATGGCGACAACCTCTCCCGCCTTCTCTTCTTATGTCAGTTTCGAGGGACCACGTGACAACAACAGACAGGGCACGTGACGCCTCTGTCATTTATTTTGGGTTTAACTGCTTTCCAAGGGATTCAAGCGTTGGTCCCGCCTACCAAGGGGAGTGAAGGGCCGATGGACGAATGGGAGAGGCGGTGTCGAGGCCGGCGCCCCGCCCTCCGCGCGTGGGGACCAATCGGGGAGCGGCGTAAGCCGCTCCCGATTGGTCCCCGCGCGCTACTCCTCTGTTGCGCCAGCTCCACTGGCTGCCAATTAGCTTCCGAGCACAATTCAAAGTTCGGTTCTGTGGAGAGTAACAACATGGCTCCCTGAGGGAAGGCGCTGAGTGCGCAGGCGCCAAGGCCGCTCCTGCTCTCGGGGCGCCGTCAAGCCTTCCTCTCCGGCATGAGCCAAAGCAACGCCGCCGTCTTGGCCCCGCCGGGCCCGGCTTCCCGCGCCCTCCATGTGGAGCTCCCTTCCCAGCAGGTGAGTCTCGGCCGAGGAGGCCTCTAGGGGCCTGACAGACAGTGAGGGGTGCCGAAGGGGGTTCTGGGGCAAGGAGGCCGGTCTCCCGACATGCCCCGCGGGGACTGGGTTGCTTTGGCCCCTTTATCTGGCGAGGGGAGAGGGAAAGGAAGCCAGCCTGCACACTGACAACGTGTGAACGCGCTCTTCTATACACGTGTGCGCTCATATCCGTGTCAGGCTTCTTGGGTCTGCTGCAGAGAGTGCTTTCAAATAATCCTGGGTTGTGGAATGGAATAGAGAGGGCAAGAGCCTCGAAAAGGGAGGCCCATTTCCTTCCAAACTGCCTCTCAGGGTTATTTGTTTATTTATTGGGTTGTTGTAGGTTTTTTCGGGCTATATGGCCATGGTCTAGAGGCATTCTCTCCTTGCCTGCATCTATGGCAAGCATCCTAGGAGGTGGGACAAAGGACTCTTGTCTGCTGGAGCAGACCTCACTACCTCTGAGGATGCTTGCCATAGATGCAGGCGAAACGTCAGGAGAGAATGCCTCTAGACCAGTGGTTCTCAACCTGGGGTCCCCAGATGTTTATGGCCTTCAACTCCCAGAAATCCTAACAGCTGGTAAACTGGCTAGGATTTCTGGGAGTTGTAGGCCAAAAACATCTGGGGACCCCAGGTTGAGAACCACTGCTCTAGACCATGGCCATATAGCTCGAAAAAAACCTACAACACCCCAGTGATTCTGACCATGAAAGCCAATATATTTATTGGTTTGTTGTAGGTTTTTTCGGGCTGTATGGCCATGGTCTAGAGGCATTCTTTCCTGACGTTTCGCCTGCACTTTGGCAAGCATCCTCAGAGGTATTGAGGTTTGTTGGGACTAGGCAAAAGGGGTTTATATATCTGTGGAATGACCAAGGTGGGACAAAGGACTCTTGTCTGCTGGAGCTAGGTGTGAATGTTTCAACTGGCCACATTGATAAGCATATAATGGCCTGACAGTGCCTACAGCAGTGGTTCTCAACCTTCCTAATGCCGTGACCCCTGAATACAGTCCCTCATGTTGTGGTGACCCCCAACCATAAAATTATTTTTGTTGCAACTTCATAACATTCATTTTACTACTGTTCTAAATCATAATGTAAATATCAGATATGCAATGTATTTTCATTCACTGGACCAAACTGTGCACAAATACCCAATGCACCCACATGTAAATGCTAGTGGGGTTGGGGGACGATTGGTTTTGTAATTTGGGAGTTGTAGTTGCTGGGTTTTATAGTTCACCTGTAATCAAAGAGCATTCTGAACTCCACCAGCGATGGATTTGAACCTAATTTGCGACACAGAACTGCCATGACCAACGGAAAACACTGGAAGGGTTTGGTGGGTATTGACCTTGAGTTTGGGAGTTGTAGTTCACCTTTATCCAGAGAGCACTGTGGACTCAAACAATGATGGATCAGGACCAAACTTGGCACAAATACTCAATATGCGCTAATGTGAACCTGATGGAGTCTGGGGAAAATAGACCTTGACTTTTGGGAGTTGTAGTTGCTGGGATTTATAGTTCATTACAATAAAAGAACATTCTGAACTCCAACGATAAAATTGGCTCAAACTTCCTATATGGAATCCCCATGACCATCAGAAAATACTGTGTTTTCTGATGGTCTTTGGTGACCCCTTTGACACCCCTTCGCGACCCACTCAGGGGTCCCGACCCCCAGGTTGAGAAACACAGGCCTAGAGCAAACTTTTGTTGAGAGGTGATTAGATGTCCTTGTTTGTTCTCCAGTAGACAAGAGTCCTTTGTCCCACCCTGGTCATTCCACAGATATATAAGCGCTTTTTCCTAGTTCCAACAGCCCTCACTACCTCTGAGGATGCTTGCCATAGATGCAGGCGAAACGTCAAGAGAGAATGCCTCTAGAACATGGCCATATAGCCCAGAAAAGCCTACAACAACCCAGCATTTCTTGTGGTTTCTTTGCCAGTGTTGATGTGGAAATTGTCTGCAACATATAATTGTCATTCCTTAGGAGTCCCTTTAAATCTATGGACGCAATGGAACAATGGTTTCAAACTACAAGAAAGGAAATTCCTTCTGAACATCAGGAAGAACTTCCTGACTGTGAGAGCCGTTCAGCAGTGGAACTCTCTGCCGCGGTGTGTGGTGGAGGCTCCTTCTTTGGAAGCTTTTAAACAAGGCCTGGATGGCCAAGTCACATGACAGGCCTGCAAGGCTTTCAATGCCAGGACAACTTAGTTATGTTTAGAGAGTCTTGCAATGACCAACAGCCTTTGAAAGCAACCATAATGCTGATGTGGCCCTCAGTGAAAATGTGTTTGATTCCCTAGTCTAGATAGATAGCCCCTTGTGTTGTCGAAGGCTTTTACTTACTTAGGCAATCCCTTGTAGCTCGAGGATGATGGCCTCCTCAGACGATCTTTGATATGGCCCTTCAAATGATATAATTGGTGTGATGCTTGTTGAAGTTAATCATAGAAAAGGCCAGGTCTTGTGTCCTAGATGAGGAATGTGGTGGTGTGTTTACACCAGGGGTCCTCAAACTTTTAAAACAGAAGGCCAGGTCACAGTCCCTCAAACTGTTGGAGGGCCGGATTATAATTTTAAAAAACCCTGAATGAATTCATATGCACACTGCACATATCTTATTTGTAGTGCAAAGAACATATAAAAACAATACAGTAATTAAAATGAAGAACAATTTTAACAAATATAAACTTATTAGTATTTCAGTGGGAAGTGTGGGCATGCTTTTGGCTGATGAGATAGGATTGTTGTTGTTGTGTGCTTTCAAGACTTAGGTTGACCCTGAGCGAGGGCCGGGTAAATGAAAGGAGATTCCATCTGAACATGAGGAAGAACTTCCTGACTGTGAGAGTCGTTCAGCAGTGGAACTCTCTACCCCGGAGTGTGGTGGAGGCTCCTTCTTTGGAAGCTTTTAAACAGAGGCTGGATGGTCATCTGTCAGGGGTGATTTGAATGCAATATTCTTGCTTCTTGGAGGGGGGTTGGACTGGATGGCCCATGAGGTCTCTTCCAACTCTTTGATTCTATGATTCTAATGACCTTGGAGGGCCTTAGTTTGAGGACTCTGGTCTACACTGTAAAATTAATTCAGTTTGACTGCACTCTAACTGCCATGGAGCAGTGTTACAGCATCATGGGAGTTGTAGTTTTACAGTATCTTTCACCAAAGAGTTATGGTGCATCTCCAAACTATGAATCCCAGATTTCCATTGCATTGAACCAAGTGGTGTCAAACTGCATTGATTCTACATTATAGATTTGCCCCGAGTGTGAAAAAGATAATGGACTCTGAATGAGGAAGATGTTTGTTTAGAAAATACTAGTTATTTCTATTTCTTCATCTTGTTTGCTATCATATAAACTTGATACGCTGGTCAAACTGTCTTTGAATGGGGACAAAGACACATTGCCATTATTTTTTTGTTTATTACAGAAATGTTCTTCCTCCATCTTCCTCCTCCTCTCCTTTTGCTGTCTTGCTGGAGAGTAGAGTTTTTGGTGGGATTCTCAAAAGTCTTGTGACTGCTTGTTTGGAATTGCATGAATTATAGGTGGAATGGTGATGAACAACCACACAGATATATGCATACACATGTCTTCCTTTTTGGGTCTATTCGTGTGGTGTATAATGTCCAGCTTCAACCCCTTTTTCCCTCCAAGCTAAATATATATAGCTCTTTAAACAGCTCCTCATGGGGCTTGATTTCCAGACCTTTGACCATTTTGGTCGTCCTTCTCTGGACACATTTCACTTTGTCCATATCTACCTCTTTTACATAAACACAGAAGGTGATGGTGAAAATAGCTATTTCTTGCTATTGTTGGGCAGAGCTTGAAAAAGTTACTCCTTTGGATTTTACTACCGATCTCCCACAGTACACATCTGGGCATGCTAGTAGAGGTTTCTGGGAAGGATTGTAATGTAAAAAAAAAAATCCAGGTTCCGAGTCTGGCATGAAGGAACGAACTCTGCTGGTTAGTAAGTTTGGAGAAAGGAGCAGCATAACTGAAAAGTGATCTCAGATGTCCTTGGTATTTATATTTCAATATTAGGTGCATGCACTGGCAGTGGTTTTCTGGAGTCTTGGGCATAGATAAGCATTTTGAAATCTTCCTGAAAACACAGGAAGCAGCTTTAGATTGTGTCAGATTGTTGATCCATCTACCTTGGTATTGTTAACTATAACGGTTAGTTGTTCTTCAGAGTTCCAGGATGATTTATTTACCTCATTTTTACAACAGTTTATTTTATGCTATTAGCACCTAAACAGATAGAGGACTTTTAAAGTATTTCCTCAAGACAAGTACTTTTCAAATGAGATTATCCTTTCCTGGAAATTGCTTCTTGTCCCAATCTTGGGACTAGCAGAAAACATGTCTGCTTGGTCTTCAATATGACATATTTTCAAATATGTAAACATGGCTCTCATGTAATCTCTTAACCTTTTCTTTCTCATGTTAAACATGCTTGGTTCTCTAGGACATAAGGCATGACTCCCAGACTGCTACATCTTTTGGTAGTGAATTCTCTTTGTTTTATGTCTATGCTAAATCTCCCAATATTCTGCATTATAATATGGCACTGGATTCTGTTATGAGAGAAGGAGAATTGATTTTTTCTATTTTTTTGCACCACAAGTAATCTTATAGATACATTCACAAGCACTTCCTTGTATTTTTCTAATTAAAGACTGTGCATGTTGTAACCTGTCTTGTAGGGTGTTTCTTTAGCCTCTTGATTATATTGGCTACTCATTTCTGTACTTCTTCCACCTCTCCAAGATCCTTTTGACTGTTGGCGGCTGCAAAAGAACGCTGTATCCAAGACATGGGTGCATCACATACCTGTATAGAGAGAGTACAAAACTAACAAGTTGTTTTAAAAAATCTTTTCTGATGATTTCTAAAATGGAATCACTTTTTCGGAATCCCAAGATCCCAACTGCTTGTTTATTTATTT